GTTATACTGCCACCGGGTCTGGACTGGCTGCTGGGCAGCTATGGACTGGAGGCAACGTTGAGGGTGAGTAGATCCATTAATTCATTAATTGATGTGCATTTTATTCAAGTTGATTTTAATTTCCAGATCATGAGTCTTATGGCTGCATTTATTATCGTGTGCTCCTTTGTGTATAAGCCGCTGCATTTGCCCCTGCACGTGCCCAAGAAGATCGGACGCTCTCGCTTGGCTGTGCTTATGCGTTCGGTTATCAATGTGGAGATTTGGAAACGCAAGCGCTATGTCATCTGGGCTCTGTGTGTGCCATTGGCTCTCTTTGGGTACTTTGTACCCTATGTGCACATGATGAAGTTTGTGGAGGCCTCGTTTCCCGGCCACGATGTCAATTTGCCGGTGATGTGCATTGGCGTCACCTCTGGCATTGGCCGTCTCATCTTTGGCGTCATTGCCGATATGCCCGGTGTGAATCGAATGTATCTGCAGCAGCTATCGCTGGTCTGCATTGGCTTGGTGACTCTGCTGCTGCCCCTGACCAGCTCCTATGTGCTGCTCGTCACCTTTGCTTTGGTTATGGGCCTGTTCGATGGCTGCTTCATCTCCTTGTTGGGTCCGATTGCCTACGAGATCTGTGGACCATCGGGCGCCACACAAGCCATTGGCTTTCTGCTCGGCCTCTGCTCGCTGCCCTTGACCATTGGGCCGCCCGTTGCCGGCATGATATTCGAGCGTACTGGCTCGTACACGCTGCCATTTATACTAGCTGGACTGCCGCCTCTGCTTGGCTCCTCGATGCTGTTCCTCATGCGTTGCGTTAAGGATGAGGACAAGGCCAAAACTACAAATGGAGTCGCAGGCCAAAAAAATGGCGACATTGAGAACTCTTCCAATGGCGATTACCGCCTGAGTGGTCTGTATATAGTTATATATGTGTTATAAATTCGTATAAAGCTTTAATTGATTTCGGTTATTTTTTCAGCTGTCAAGTCGAGTGTTCCACTGATGGGCCCCAGCGAAAATGGTGTCTCCAATGGTTATGCTTTAACCAACGGCTCAGCAAGTGGTGCGTATTACACTAAAAAATTGCTATATGAACCTTCTATAACTATATATGTATATATTTCATGTTCAGCTGCCAAGTCCATAGGCTCGACTGACCATCCGAATGGTCTCAATGGACATGCCAATGGGCATGTGGATGGGACTGATCCCACAACTGGTTTGTACACTGAATCTCTAAGCCCACCCAGCAACGACTTCGGTCAACGCCTCTCTAGTATTACTGCCTGCTGCTCTGCAGATATATGCATTCATCCCAGTAGCTCGACTAACACCTATTATTCGAAACCCATCTCATCTCACACTGCTTTGCTTAATCGCAGCTCGAGATCTCAAAGCTCATTTGATGATTTCAGCAAGCGCCATTATAAATATTCAATTTATTGAGCTCGTATTTGATATCTTCGAACTGGTTTTGAGAAAATTCTTAGCTGTTTACCATTAATAATTAATTAATAATTAGTCGTTAGAAAGCTCTTAAACTTCCATTGTAGTTGTGATACTGGTACTTTTGTTTCGTTTTTATATTTATAAGACTGGCCTTTGTAATCGCAGCTGAGCACCTCAATCGATCTAATTCGCGAGAAACATTTTTATTTCCAGAATGATCCATTCATCCTTGTTGCCACACTCACCCACGCATTTGCATCCATTCGCCCCACTATTTTGTATTTCATAGTAGAGATAAGCGCTTTCTAGATCGTAAGCTGCACCGAACTATCTTATGTAAATAAATAAATGCAACTAAATTTATAAGATTTTAGCATGTATGTACGTATGTACGTATTTAAGTTTGCTTTGTATATTTGAATGGACATCAGGTGCTACTGCATGGAGAAGTTGTAGATGTTCAGCTATTGGATTTCATTAACTAACCTTGATAATCATGTAAATCTTTCAGAGAAACTCACCGACACGCCGGGATCCTAGACAAAGTCGCTGTCGTCTACTCAAAACTCAAAATTCCACACAAAACTTTATCATTGAAAATTTTCTGCCATTTTAAATCTATGATCATATCGCTAACCAGCATAAACAGACAGAGAAAGAGGGAAGAGAGGGAGAGAGAGAGAGAGGTGTTCATTACATTTTTTTGACTACTGTACATAAAGGGACGATGTACAAATATTATGACGAGACCTTCTGTTGGAGACACTCCTGTACTTGTAATACTTATTTTTGCATAAATGTATACTAATTTAGGCTAAGACAAATTGAAAAATTTGCAAAATAAACAAACGAAAATTATAGAAAATAAAATGAGTTTTTTTCTCTCTTTAATAAACTATAAATATTTAACAATTCGATACTATAAGGAACATTCAACGAACTATATTACGCGACAAGCAGCCACAACATGAAAGTTAGATAGCCATCAAATCTGCCAACGGATTATACAATTCAAATTTCGTTTAGCACGCGTACCTGACTGGAATTGGACAATCGGTGACGTCGAGTAGAGCTCATACAGCTTGTTGACTGTTCAATATTAGTGTTAATTAAACCGATTTGTATGCGGACGTTCATTAAATAGATTCCAATGAACAAAAATAAAATAAATAAAATTACTTGATATCTTTGTTGGGTTCATTGATGCGTACCCTCACTTCATCAATATCAATATGATTGCGACGTTTACTGGCGATATGTTTTTCAGTGGGAGTCGGTCAAGTCACGATTTGGCTATACACCCGACAATATATACGCATAGATCACTCGGCCTTAAAAAGTTCGAGCATCCGGCATATAAAAACGGGCTGAACACAACAAATTTTTTGATTATTTATATCGACGTTCAATTGGTCGGTCGATCGGCGGCTAATCAAGGCTCTCTAAGTGGATCGGAATACCTGAATATGTTGACGTGGCAATTGTGGGGTGCATTGTTGCTCGTGTTGTGGCTCTACTTCTTGTGGACGCGTCGCAGATTCTATCTGCTCACACTTAAGATACCGGGCCCACTCGGCTATCCCATCGTAGGCATGGCTCACAAGCTGATTCGCAGAGAAAGTGTGTGTTTCACTTATGCGTGTTGAAAATTTTGAATGATATATGTATGTGAATTTATTAGATGTGCTGAATGCAATTGGCTTCTATTTGGATAAGCACGGACCGACAATTTTTTCATGGCTGGGTCCTTTACCATTTCTGATTGTGGCCGATCCTCAAATAATACAGGATATATTTACATCGCCGCATTGCGTCAACAAAGGCATCATCTATAAGGCGGTCGACGATGGAGCTGGCTTGGGACTTTTTAGTTTGACAGGTTTGCAATATGAGCGATGGATATAAAAGAAAATATATCTACACCACCTCACAGATCCTCGTTGGAGTGTGCATCGCAAGCTGTTGAATCCCACATTTGGACACAAAGTGCTGCTCAGTTTTCTGCCCATTTTCAACAACGAGACTGGAGCTCTCCTTAAGCAGCTGGACACATTGGTTGATGGGGGCGAGAAGGATCTGATACCTCTGCTGCAAGCCTTTACGATCGGCATTGCTACGCGTAAGTTGCATATTTCTTTCGGAAATTCTAAAGCTGACTAGCTTCTCCAAACACAGAAACAACAATGGGCAGTGACGTGAAAGCCATTTCGGATATTAATAACAATCAGTTGCTGGAGGATTATCAATGGTAAGTTAAATCTGTCATGAGAATGGATGTGTTTTCCTATCCATTAATAGTGTTTTGGAAACCATGACAGATATGTGCTTTTCGCCATGGCTTAGCTCTCGAACAATACGTCAGCTATTTGGCAAGGAAAAGCGTTACGCGATCTCCAAGTCAAGAATAAGGGGATTTATAAGAAAGGTAAAGCCAGCCGACTTATGATAATTAGCAATAGATTGTTCATTTGAATTCGTCTTCCAGCTGATTGAAAGAAAACTGGCAAGGGATGCAGAGGTCGGCGATACGGTTAATCAGTTGCCTTCAGATAAAAATATATTTCTGAATCTAGCTACGGATCTCTTGAAACGCGGTGTATTCACCTGGAAAAATGTGGAGGATGAATCGAGTGTAATTGTTTTTGGTGCCTTTGAAACAACAGCTAACACTGTTGCCTACACATTAATGTTGCTCGCAATGTTTCCCATGTACCAGGAGAAGGCATTTGAGGAGATTCTCAGTTTGTTTCCCGACTCTGGGGACTTTGAAGTGAGTTATGAAGATACTCAGCAAATGGTCTATCTGGATCTTATTATAAATGAGTCAATGAGAGTGATGCCGCCTGTGCCGATCGTATCCCGGCAAACGTCGGAGGATTTGTTGCTCTCGAGCGGAGTTATTGTTCCGAAGGGCGTTCAAATTGCAATTAATATATTCTACTTGCATCGCAGCAAGCAAATTTGGGGCGAAGATGCGGAAACATTCAATCCGGATCACTTTTTGCCCCATCATTTGCAAAATAAACATCCATACGCGTACATACCTTTCACAAAAGGCATACGGAACTGCATAGGTAAAAGTAAATTTATCCAATATCACATGCAACTATTAAATAACAAAATTTTGTATATTATTAGGTTGGAGATATGCGTTAATTTCAGCAAAAATTACCCTGGCTAAATTATTAAGAAACTTCAAATTCTCAACTAGCTTTAATTTCAAGGATCTTTATTTCGTTGAAGATATAACGATAAAACTTAAAACAGTGCCGCAACTGAAATTAGAACGGAGGACTTTATAGCTTAATACGTGATGAGAAATAGAAGTAAAAAGCTATGTTAAGAAGTCATTATAAATTGCAAAAGATTTTTATTGTTATTTGGCTAATAAATATATGAAGTTTTATTAATTTTAAATAATGCGCTTCTTACATTATTCACAACTGAAAGTAACGTGCGTACTTGTTTTGAACATTGCCGCAACATATCGATAGATTTCAGTGTTGAATAATGCTGCTGTTGACCAAAATGAGTACTTTTGAGCAGCTATCGTGCGTGTATATCGGTATTTGTTGTCAGATTGCCGGCTGCAGCATAATAGTGTCAATATTTTTTAATTGTGCCGCAATGACGCTCACAGATGTCTTGGAACTCAATAAAACAGAATTGTTTACGAAAATACGCACTGTCCTGCCGATAGGGACGCAAACACAGAATTTGTTGGACTGCAAGGATGATTTGTTGTACGCATGGAACTCCGTGGATTCGTGTCTGTTGGTCACAAATTGGCGCGTCGCATTGCTTCAGGCAGAACCAAAACGTGCGAAAATAAGCTATCAAACGCTAATTCCATCAAATGCGGTTGGCCTGCAGGTGGACCGTGTTGTGGTTTCTAATGAAGGCTCGCTTATCGCGCTGAGTGGCCCACAAAATGTGACAATATTGGAAGTACCACGCCGCAGTGGGCCCGATGGCTATTTAATGGATGGCAAGCCGCAAATCACGTGCCGTTCATACAACCTGGATGTGCTCCTCTTTCAAAACAATCCACAACTGGAGGTGTGCCAGGTGCGTTGGCATCCGGATTCTGTCTCCGACTCCACGCTTCTGGTGCTACTCTCCAACAACACAATGCGCGTCTACAATCACGCCAAGCTGCGTCATGTGTGGAAGGTGGGTCCGTACACAGTTAAGAAAGGCGCCAATACCTCACTTTCTGACTTTGGTGAGACTTCCATTGACTTTGATATTGCGCCAGCAGTTAAGACCAGCGCCGCCGCTAGCGACGAAACAACCGATAACTCTACTCTCAATAGCACCAAAACCCCCAAAGAGAAGGTGGAGTGGCCAATTGTTATATTGCGCGAGAATGGAAATGTTTATGTTTTACTCACTGGCATCGATTCGGACATAACTCGTCTGCAGGGTCCCATTACCATAACACCACAGACAAGCTCCAACTATGGCGTTGAGTCGTGTGCTCTGCTGATCATACCATCTTTGCCTCCCACTGTGATCATTGCGGAGTCAACGGGCAGACTGCATCATGCTCTTATGCTGGAGGCTGAGACTACGGAGCGTTCGTTTAACGATGCGGATGACGGTCTGCTTATCGAGCCATCTCAGTGGACTCTCCACGTAACGGAAACCGTTGAGCTTGAATTGGGCCTCTCAGCGTCAGCTCCCAATAGTACGAGCAACGCCTATAGCTGCCCCATACATCTGAAGCGAGATGTGGTCAACGAGATGCGATACTTTGCCTACCACAACGCTGGATTGCATATTATTACTGTTAACTTCATATCCGAGTTGCAGCGCTTCTTGGATAGCGAGGCCGAGGACAATCAGCTGGTGATATCAACACCTTCCTGTGCTGAATACATATTGTGCACTAAGTTCGATTCTAGTGATCGCATCAATCCTGTTATTGGCATCGCCTTGATGCAAATGCCATCCGGGCTCGTGCTGTTGCTGGGCAGCGGTCAAGTCATCAGCCTTAAGCTGGTCATTGATGCCCAACTGCTGATGACGTCCAAAAAGGAATTGCAGCTGACTGCCACGGATGCTGCGCTGGATGAGCAGGGTTCGGGTCCTTCATTCGCGGAAAAAATCAAGACAATGCTACAGCGTACTGTAAATCAGCCGATTCTGGCTGACAAAATGGCCTCATCCTCCGCACACGAACGTTATGAGCTGCTCAACCAGGCCGTTGAGGTGCTGCGTACCCAATACCTCAAGCGCCATGAGCTGGTGCGCGCGGAGTTCGCCAAGCACATCAAGTGCATTAAGCTGCAGAAGCAACAGCAATTGCAGGAGATTAAGAGTCTGGAGAATGAACGAGAGATCATAAGCGAACGGGCGCACAAGCTGGCGGAACGCTTCGAAGAGATTAGCGATAACCAGGAGCTGCTCGTGCGCCGTTGCCAGAAGCTAATGCAGCTAGCCAACTCAGTGTTGCCCAACAGCATTGTGGCCGAGCGAGAGTTTGCCCAGGAGGTAGGACGCATCGACAAGGCTACCAAAGCCATTGCCGCTGCATTGGACACGGCCAAGAAGACGTACAACAAGCAACGCTATCACATCGCAAAGTCGGAGGGGACAAACGCGAGCGATGCCTACCAGCTGCCAGAGAGACAGCAGCGCACCATCACCGAGATTCTGACTCAGCTCTCGAGTGAGATTGATCGCCAGATATCAGATGTGAAGCGTATAAATAAGATTGTCGGTCTATGAGCAGCCTTATCAACGAATAAGTTAATTTTGTATTTGTGCTATTGTTAACAATTAAAGCAACCTTCTAGTATATATGAGTAAACAAATACTTATTCATTGGCTAAGGTATTTTCTGTTACCCAGAATAAGTTCCTTAACATCATTTTTGGACAGATTTATCCGAAATTTGATTTATTTGTTTTAGCACCTTCTATTTGTTTGTCTGTCTCGGCTGCTTTAGTTTCAGACATTTACTTTTACATAATGTACATATAAAGTTTTAGTGTAATTGTATATATGTTGAACCTCGATCCAAAACGGAATGCGAAATTTGCATAGCTAATGACTCGCATATATTTATATAGCTATGTAGGAGAATTAACATTTGTATTTGCGTTTCAGTCTAAGTTTCAGTTGCAAGCGAACTTTTTGGAGTCGACATCGAGCTCAGGTGCTATCCACAGCAATGGCATCTATATTTCTCAGATTGACAACAATCTGCACGAAGATGTCCAACTATATCAAAACAAACTCACCCTTCGTGATTGAGGCGCTGATGGTAACGATCTGCTTTGGTGCCATAATAAGCAGATATATAATAATTACCTAGATGAACGACACATACTATACATATGTACATATATGTATAAATCAATTGAATCGACGCATGTAACAATAAAACGATCGTATCTGAATCTTCCTCTAAATAGAACTAATATTGTATTTGTGTTTGTGTGTGTGTGCACGTGATTGAAGATTGAACTTAAACTCTAGGCTTCTCGATCACATGAATATAGAATGCAGGATTCTGCACTACATTCATGTCCTTGAAGTCGCCGTACAGCTTGTGCTTGGCCTGGCTGCCGAAGATTTCGGCAAGGATCTCCGTGAAGCGCTTCAGCTCATGTGGATAGTACGAGAGCCGGAATTCGCTGGACAGCTTGTTGCCCTCGATCTGGTAGTCCATGGAGACCAGAGCGGGTTTCCCGCAGTAGAATAGAACGGATGTTTTGATGTCAGCCGTGTGGCTTGTCTATAAAAAAAGGCATAACAACAAAAACAAAAGTAATTCACAAGTGCAAGTCACTCGAAAGGGCGATTAAAACGCGGATGATGATGATGATGATATTGATATTTTTACAAAATAGTTTTTGTCTATTTAAAGTTATCAGTGAAACCGTGAATGACTGGGCATATTGAGCACCCCAAGTGAATGAGATGTGTCGTTTAATTGTTTTTAATTGGCATCAAATAATCGCATGCAAAGTGTTTTACTTACGTTATAGTAAATGCTTTTGGCGGGCGTGGCGCCTGTCTCCAGGATGTTGTCATAGTTGCGATGATCGATCAGCAGGATGCCGCCTGGCTTCAGGCACTTCTCAAAGTTCTTGATCGCCTGCTTGTGCTCGCGCTGATCCCCGAAACTGTCCATCAAATGGGCGAACGAGTTGCCCAGACAAATGACCGCATCGAACCCGACGCCCAGATGCTCCTGGATATCGTCGTACAGAGTCAGCCAGTTGGCCTCCTCAATAACTGACAGATTGACAAGATTTGGTCAGATCTGACTCAATATATCTAGGACAACTATCTTAATGCTCACCCCATTTGTCGAAGGCGGCCTCATTGCGGCGATTCCAGCGCTCCTTGAGCGCGTATTTCAGCATCTTGTCCGAGGCATCAACGGACATCACATCGAAGCCCTCTTCCAGCAGCATTATGGAGTCCACTCTGCAGTTATTTAACATATAAACATTCACATCTAAATCCACTTTGTTGTGCCTCTGGCTTACCCAGTGCCGCAGGCGACATCGAGAATGCGTTTGCAGCCCTTCTGGCGCAGCAGATCCACCAAGAAGTTCTTGTAGTTGTCGGTGCGCGAGTTCTTATCACCGATGAAGATCTCCCAGACCTTGGCTGCCTTGCCATCAGCATACTGGTCGCGCACTCCTTCGGCCGAGATACCTTCCGATCGGGTTACGAACACACTGTCAGCGGAGGTAGTCATTTCAAGTGTTTAGCACTGGGCAGCAGATCAAACTGAATTAAGTTTTCGTGGCGAATCCACTCGCCATGACATCTCCGGCGGGTGTTTTCAATCACAAACAGCTGGCAAGCCACACACCAACATACGCACACAGCCACACATTCCCGTAATCTTATCAAGGCACTTCTAGATTGACCCGTGCTAGCAACGGTTCCACCAACATCAACATCTGCTCCAACCGTACACGTTCCGCTTTTTTCCATTTTTCGATTTTGATTTTTTTGCGACCTGACACTGACCTTGTTGTGATTAGTGATTACAGTGCCTAAAAATAATAGAAAATATTATTATTATTATTTGGCAAAAATACGTCATGCCACTTACATACAGCTACCAAAGCAGAGGCGCCCTATCATGTGATACTATACTCTAATCTCGATTAGACAGACAACTGTATATTCAAAAAAAGGCTTAATATGTTTAATTATATGCTAAAAGATAATTATTATTATTGATGAGTTAAGAAATATTTGCTGAAAAATATTCAACTTTTTTTTTTGCCTAATCCTAAGTTTTTTGTATTGGCTGTAAACGATATGTCTGAGTATTTATATATATGTATGTATTTCTCTTTGACTCTACCAAATTAAGAGTACGAGACTATTTAGCTGCGGCCTTAGATAGGGTTAATTGAAAAAAGAGTCCATTTGACAGCTGAAAAATGTTTTGGATTACATATGGCGTTTTCTGATTTTTATACCCTGAACCCATTGAAAATGGGAAATCAGGGTATAATGGTTTTGTGAAAAGTATGTAACAGGCAGAAGGAATCATCGCAGACCCCATAAAGTATATATATTCTTGATCAGGACGACGAGCTGAGTCGATATAGCCCTGTCCGTCTGTCCGTCCGTCCGTCCGTCCCTCCGTCCGTATGAGCAAAAGGATCTCAGAAGATATAAGAGCTAGAGAGCTGAAATTTGGCATGCATACTCGTGTATACCATAGGCAGTACGAGTTTGCTTTATTTTTTCGATAACTCATCCGATAACTTTTTTATCGAGAATATTCGAAAAATCGACTTGGTTTTTTCAGCCTAGTTTGAACACTTTTAAACCTGGAGACTTCAAATTTGCGTTGTGTATAAAGTTAATGGACACAAAAATTTTGTAATTTACAGATTTTGGATACCACGCCCCCTTCGCCCCCAATTTGTAAAAAACGCATTTCAAGTACTAGAGACTTGTGCTTTGGAATGTACACACATTTTGATTTGATTACGCTCCAAAAGTTTCATTAGGATCGTATGTCTACAAAGGAAATTATTCAACAAATAAATTGTCATAATATTGCCCACATTGCAGCGCAGCCCAAGCGCAGCCGCTGCTTACTGCGCAGTTAGCAGAGCGCTTATAAGTGCATGTGTATGTATGTGTACATAGAAGAAGTGCAGAATGATTAGAATATCAGCTTGGAGGGTTCAGGGTATCTCCTAGTCGAGCAGTCTCGACTGGAGCCTTCTTACTTGTTTAGTATTGTAAGACTGACTCGCTCTTAATTGGACTTTCGAATGGAAAACCTGTGTTTAATAGTATTCATTTAAAATATAGATCTAAATTTACTATATTTTCAAATGACAAGCAGCCTCACTCAAATCCAAAGTCGATGCCATGAATAGTCATGAATACTTTCAGAATATTACTCATCAAAATTCCGTTTTAGTCATATCGTACCTTTTAATGAGTGTCTACTGTATAAGGTAAGCTACCCCGTTGAATTAAATAAAAGCTTTGAAAATCTGCATATAAGTTCGTTTTTATTTCAAATAGCTTAATAAATATTGCACTGCGTTGAAAACTAGGATTATGTATAGTATATAGTATATATGTAGGTATATAATTTAAGATGGTATTCGTATTGCACCACGTTGCTCAGTTGAAATTGCAAGTCTTAGGGAGTTCGTCGATATGTTATTAAATAGTATACAATTTGAATAATAATAATAATAATCATAATGTTAGTAAATGATTACGTTTCGCAAGATAATTAATTATATGTAGCTCGCGTGGCTTTAATTATCTTGGGAAACATAAGCTGTCATTAAAGTTAAACCGAGATGCTTATTAGCTATGCATACATATGTATGTGTGTGTTGTGTATGAGTATGTGTGCTTAGTGGCTAGCTAAGGGATTTGAGTATTCTATTCAAATTCTATGGCAAATACCCCAGCGAGTCCTCGAGCGAGGCGCTCACTGCCCGCATGGATTGGTAGCTGGCCATGCGGCTCCTGCTCACATTGCTGCGTATCGAGGCGGCCTTCTCCAGCGCCTTGATGTTGATCAGCAGATCGTCGGCGCTGCACGCCTTCTGTGCGGAGTTCATGTGCAGCGTGGGCGCTAGGGGCATAATCATGGCACCGCCATTGCCCAGACGATCCGTGCTGAAGGATTCGCGCGCTCGGTACAGGGAACGGCGTGCAGAGACACTCGAATGGCAGCTGCCATTGCTGGCACGCCCATTTAGCTTCTGGCTGTTTATCATCGGCGGACAGAGACTCTTGATGTCCGTCGTCTGGCTGAGTTTCATGTCCGCAAACACGGCCGCAGCCTCCACGCTCTTCTTCACGCTGAGCGCCTCATGCGGCTGCACGGGCTTGCTGTTGCCGCCGATCGTAAAGAGCTCATAGTCCAGGCCCAGCTTCTCCGACGACTTGCTCTTCCGTGGGGAGGCACGCGACTTGTGCTGCGGACTGAGTGAATCCTCGCTGATATTAGCCGCTGCCGCATTGGCGCGTTGCCGGCGGTGGCTGCGCTTGCAGTAGCACTTGCTGGCACTGATGCAGCTGTCCGTGTCGCACCAGGTGGTCGTGTCCGAGTGCGTGTTGCCCGAGTCGTGCTCGAGCGTGCTGTTGGGCTCCTCCTCCACCATGGAACAGTAGCACTTGTCCTCCGACTTGCACGATATCAGAGAATGGCGATTGCCAGCTGCTCCAGCATTGCCGGTCGTCGACTTTCGGCCATTGCCCATGGCCATGTTGCGTTCGTTCTTCTGGCGCAGCTTGTGGTTCAGATGCTCCGTGCGCAGACTGCAATAGCAGCGATCTGCCGAGGTGCAGGTGCACGATTCCGAATCGTAACTGCACTCCGAGCAGGAGACGTAGCTATAAATGGAATAGGAATGAGAGAGAGAGAGACTTATTAGCAGCCATTCGACAGACATTGTGGACAACTTTGTAGACGTTTACTCACCCACTGCTGCTGTTTCGATTGAGTCCCTGCAGCGCGTTCTCGTTGCGCACGACGGACACATCAGAGCCGCTGGTGGTCGCGCGATTGCGTTGATGCTGCTGCGCGTGGCTCTGGCTGGTGGGTGGGCCAATGACGATGGGTGGTGTCAGGCGGCGCTTGTTGGAGTCCGCACTGCCAGACTGTGACTCCTTGGCGCGTGCCGGCTTGGCCAGCTTGCCGCGACAGGCGCGAAACTGTCCCAGCTGAAACACCTTCTTCAGGCTCTTGGTGCCAAAGAAGATGCTCTTGGATTTTTTCTGCAATCAACTTGGGTTTAGCTCCTCATCTGAGAGTGGTGCGCAGCAGCTTACCTGTGAGCCACTGATGCTGGCTTTGCGCTTCTGCTTCTTCTTCTTCTGGCGCCGCATTATGTTCTTGGAGCGCTGAAAGAGCTCGTCCTGTGTGAGCGTCACGGCCAGCTTGAGCAGAAACTCCTTGTAGATGGGCTTCAGGTCGTTGAAGGACATGCCATCTGCATCGATAATGGCATAGAGTATCTCGTCCAACGAGTGCAAGTTCTCGTGCAGCCGAAATTCATTGAACAGTTCACTGAAACCAAGTGGGGAACTAGAAGCACAATTCAAACGATGCCAATCAACCAAACCAAACCTTTTCACCGAGGATGCAAACAATGTTAGGCCAAACCGCAGGCCAGCGTCAGCTTGGATGACTTGGATAGCTAATGAAATACCTGAGCTGTCGCTGGCCCCGTTGGTTAGTATTAATACTCACCCTCCTCCACCGCCCAATTTGCCGGAGTTGGTGCGGCGCGCCGCTCTCGACTTGTACCTGGTCAGTCCGCCGGTGTTCAGGAAGCTGCCCGATCTGGGTATGGCCACACGGGTTAGTATATCGCCATCGCCGGCCGCAGCCACGGCGCCCGCGGCGACCAGGTCGCTGATCTTGCGACCATTCGCACTGCCGTTGGGTGTCGGCGTAGAAGGCTTCTTCAGGTGCCCATGGGCATGACCCAGGCGATTGACATGCCCATTGGTGCACACAATGCTGTTGCTGCGCCCCGAGCCGCTCTTGAAGCCACCCACGTTCGGCGCCGGCACAGGCGGCGCCCGTTTCGTCTTGTGCGACTTGCGCTTGCGCTCCTCCGTGGAGGTCTCGATCTCGGCCGCCTCGTTGATCACGTTGCTATTCGAGCTGAGCGAGCTGCTCGAGACCCGCTTCTTGCGCGTTGACCGCGAGGGCGTCGACCCGCCCACGCCCATTGGCTTGGGACTCACGCCCGACAAGCTGCCGCCGCTGCTGCGAAACGAGCTGCGCCGGCCGCTCACGCTGGGCGCTATCTGTGACCTAGACAGGTAGTTGGAGCTGGTCAGGGCCGAGCTGCTGGCAATGCTGACGCAGCTGACTCCGTTCTGCTGCCGGGGTGTGCGTCGCTTGGTGCTTCGGTGCGAGCTGGTGCTCACGTGCGCCATCAGGCTCTGGTAGAGCGTCGCCGCAATCACAATGGCATCCTCAGTGCTCTTGCAGATGAATCCGTGGCATTCCAGTATCTTCGGAGCACTCGCCGACCGCATGACCACCGCAAAGATGGGAGCGTGCATGTGCTCGCTTTGCTCCACAGCCAATTGCTCCATGGCGCTGCGAACAGATAATTGAGAGCTTTATCACACAAGAGATATAAAGAGAAATGAGAATTTTCCTGAATGAAAATGGACAAGTTTCACGGGAGAAACTTATTTGAATGTAAATCATGCATATATGTAATCAAATATCTATCTATCTTATGTCTTGGCAAATTCTGTGCTCACCTTAGCGGCTGGAA